ACCCACAGGTTGAGAATCACTGCTCTAGAGCCTTTCATGTGACACACATGAGAAAAACAAAAAGAAAACAATGTTGATTAAAAGAAAATTTAGTACGGAAGGCTTAGGAAATGGTATTTTACATGAAACAAAATTATTTTAGACTAAAGTTTCCATTTTCTGCAAAAATGGCTGTTAAAATAGATGAATGCCCCACGAGGTAACTGTCTGATAGGGGAAGTGAGCCTGAATGCCCAGGCTTCAGGAGAGAGGGTGGCAGGCAGTGCCCAGCCGTGGACCCGGGACTGGCTGTGGGAGTCAGCTGTAGGAACGACGGAGCGGGCTTGCGGGCTGCGCAGGACTTTGACATGGGAACTGAGAAGCGGCTTGGTCACATGACGGCTCTGACTCTGGAGGTGGACTGCAGCGTGCGGAGCTCGGCGCTCCTGTGTGCCCACGGGCCTGCAGCGTTGCCCCACCCACCCTCCCTCGCTGGGGTCATTTACCCGGAGTCCACACACACTGTCATCTGTGGCCATGCCAGGACACAGGAGCCACCAGGACCGTGCCGGTCACATAGCCTCATAGTCACTCATTTAACTATTCAGCATTTATTAGGTGCCTACAACTAGATGCTAAGTGCTGTTATGGGAACATGAAATTAAACAGGACCAGTTCTCGGCCTCTGATAAGTTCATACTCAAGTGTCTGAGGGGAAAGACGGCCATGGGGACAAAGTCAGCGTCCCCGGATGCTGTGGGGACACCAGGGGAAGAAGCCACTCTTCATTCAGGTCCAGGAAAGCAGTCGTCTCTGCAGATGGTAGAAAACAAAAAAAAAGCTGCCGCGCCTCACGCGTCCCCCTTTCTGCCGTAGCTACCTGAACACTAAAGGCCAAGCTCAGTGCCCAGGTACCGTGTGCGGCCCACTGCAGGTGGCTCGCAGCATAAACCCACCCCTGCTGCCTTCAGATCGGGTCCCTCACCTTCCGTCCCTGAATGTCTCGCTTTGGGTGGTGGTTTAAATGTGAGCCTTTGGAGCTCTGTTTGAAAGTAAGGCATGCATTTAAATCACGTCTATATGCAAGATCTTCCCCCCAAATAGGACGTATTACTCTACTCTCAAGAGTGGTGGGAAGGAAACAGCTCGGTTTCCACATCCAAGGGCCTGGGGTGGAATCACTGCTTGAGCCACATGAGTGACCTCTGAAGAAGAAAGATGAACGCAACTAGGTAGAAAAAAATGTTTTAAAAGCAAAACACTTGTATCAGTTTCTACTTTCCTTTAAGAAAAGGGGGAGAAGGGAAGAGTTGTTTAAATGCACATTTCACATGAAGCCAGGCCACTTCTGACTACATTCTCAAGGAGTGCCGGGAGCAGCTCGTCTCCGCCCCCAGTGACTTGCAGCTATAAAGAGTTGCAGGAATGGAGAAAGGCTGTTAATTGCATTTCCAAATTACATTACAGGTTTGCAGCCTCTGGCGACGTCCAACGTCACATTATTATTCACTCAGGAGAGAAGCCACACTTGTGTGACATCTGTGGCCGAGGTATAGCTGAGCGTTTTCCTTTTTTTTGCCTGAAGATTACCGATTGAAATGTTCTCGGTCCTTCACTGAACACCTGGTCTGGTCTCTGCAGGGTTTAGTAACTTCAGTAATTTGAAGGAGCACAAGAAGACGCACACGGCCGATAAAGTGTTCACCTGCGATGAGTGTGGGAAGTCCTTCAACATGCAGAGGAAGCTGGTGAAGCACCGCGTCCGGCACACGGGGGAGCGGCCCTACAGCTGCTCTGCCTGCGGTGAGTGACCGCCGCCCGCCAGGCGGTGTCCGTCCTCCCTGGTGGGGGCAGCCGGTCGGCCTTCCGCTTGTCCTTGGCTGTTTGCTGTCTCAGATGAGTCACCCTTTTCTCACAGGCAAAATGGAAGTCATGCTGTTGCTCTACCACTTCACGTGGTCTTCTGTCACTCATTCCTCCATTCATGTATCAGATGTTTTCTGAGTGTCTCCAAGGGGTCCAGAGCTGTCCTGAGATGCTCCAGGTACCCGGGTGACTGAGACAGTCCCCGGGTCGGTGGGGCGCAGGCAGTTGGAAAGTGTGGGACCACGTGGTGTGTGGCAGCAGGTGCTGGGGCACAGGGCGCGGGGGCTGCCGGCTTGCCTGTCGTGCTGGAGCACGGCGAGCACACGCTGGCGACGAGAGAGAGGGCTTCTTGGGCTCATATGTGCTGAAGCAGAGGCGGTGTCTCTGGGCATCAGACACGTGGTGACCCAGCTCATCAGGGAGCAGGAGGCGGACGGCCCTCAGCTTCATGGCACTGTATTGTACAGATGAGGAAATGGGGACTCCAAGTTAGGGCACCTGTTACCGTGCCAGCCTCTGAAGGTGTGTGTTTGTGCACGTGCCTGTGACTAGTACGTGGCAATGCGGATGGAATCGTGGGTGAGTGAGCAGCCATGTTCACAGTGTCCTTTTTAGAACATGGGGAAAACGCTCTGAGTCCAGCTGGGGGAAGCCTGGAATAGGGCACTACTCAAATGGCTCATTCTCACTGTAATTGGGCTAAACTAGGGCAGGACTTCCGGGGTGGAGCCAGAGGACAACTTCGTTTTTATCTCCCACTTAAATTGTATACAGACATCCTGCATACAAACTTAGGCAACTCCATGACTATTCTGATCACTCTTAAAAAATAAAATTGCATCACGGTAAATCACAAATGCAGTCTCAAATCACTAATGTATAAAATGTCAGTTCCAAATTATGATAACCGTCAACTTGATTTAAGGTTATATTTTCTCTTTCCTCCCAGCTGGGACTCAGACCCCTGCCAGGAGGGAGTGAAGTGGGACCTTCTGTCTTCCCCAGGGAGCAAGAATGGTCTTATATGACAGGTTCAAAATGTTTAAACAACTTTACTGAGGTACAATTCCCATTCCATAAAACCTGCCCATTTAGTGAGCGAGTCAGAGGCTGTGGTTTAGTCGCAGTTGCACAGCCTTCACCAGTCAGATTTCAGAGCGCTTTCATAGCCCCGGAAAGGAACTCCATACCCATTACCATCACGCCCGTTCCCACCCCCCAGCCCATGGCAACCGCTGATCTACTTCCTGTCTCTATGGATTTGCCCGTTCGGGACATTTCCTAGAAATGAATTCACACAGTATATGCTCTTTTGCGACTGACTGCCTTCACTTAGCAAACCTGCTGTGAACATTCGTGTACAGCTGCTCCGCTGTGTCCTCCTCAGGGCAGGACACGTGGCGAGCATGGCTCCTGGCTCTACTGTGACTAAAATTTACACATAGTAAGAACCCTAACAGTTTTATCTTAAGGAAACAATGGGAAGAACGGCGTTAAGGTAGCATCACGTGTAGAAGCAAATAGGTGGGCGCAGCCCAAATGTGCGACCACAGAGGGACGGTTATGAAGCTGTAATCCACAAACACCACATGGCTGAGTAAAATGCGTATTTCAGAGACGGGACAGCAAACTAAAAATGCTTTTACTGTGGTGTTAGGTGAAGGTAACTGAGCTGACCTGGTGAGCAACATGTAGAAGTAAAAACACAGAAAAAGTTTCTCTGGTATGTTTCAGTATTTTGTATGTGGAAATGTAAAAAATAATAAACGGCGCCACTTTCAAATGGAGCCGGGGCTGCCGTCCCAGAGGAACCGCCTTGCAGGTCTTGTGCCTCAAGTCTTTGGAATGTTAAAACAGGGCCCTTTGGACAGGGCCTAAAGTAACATTGTGCCCCAAAGACTGTTTGCAAAAAGCACAAGAAAGCAGATACTGTGACCACTGGGCTGAAAATTAAAAACACTGTTTAGAGTGAGCGTGACTATGTTAGCTTATCTGCACCAATAGAAACGCCTGCCTTCTGTGGATGTAACTGTTCCTCCGCCCTCTCTCAAAAATACCCTTTGCCTTTGTCTCCTGATAGGAACACTGTTTGGGCTTCTGCCTGAATCAGTGCTTCCCGAATAGCTATTCTTATTGATCTCAAATAAATGCTTGTTGCCTCTCACTTGGAAAGGCCTTTTATTTTTAGGTTAACAGAAAAAAGTGCCCACAATTTAACGCATGGGCATTGACGTCTAGTTTTGTTCAAAGGCGTTTTTAGATAGCCCACCATTGCTTGACTAGGGCTGGATAGCTGAGAATTCAGATAGAGTGGCATATGGATCGAAGGGAAGTCCTAAATATATGTCCACATAATTGTGTATTCTGCCCTCCGTCCTTTGTAAGTAAATTACGCCTTTGATAAGGTTACTTATTAATTTTTCTCTTCCGATCCCCTTTCCTGCTCTAATTGTGGAAATTGACCCCCTACCCGGATCTTATACACAGACAAAGGCAATAGAACCAGGACAAGTATGTGTCAAGTTATGGTAAAAGACGAATACAGAGTGCCTTTCGAAAAGAAGTTTCTAAATCATAAATTGGCCGTGTTACTCCTACGGAAATGTAAACAGAGCTGACAGGTTTCCCAGCACGCAGGAGCCGGCAGGGGCTGCTGCGGCCTGGCTTACCCAGCAAGGCGCTCCTTGCAGGGAGGGTCTCCTGAAGGCGCGCCCGAGACACCCAGACCCGGAGGACTGCGCGCAGCTGGGGAGGGGAGGGGTCCTCCCAGAGTGTCCGCTTCTGAAAAGGCCTGTCTTTGGTTGTGCAGGGAAATGCTTCGGGGGGTCCGGGGACCTCCGCAGGCACGTGCGCACGCACACCGGGGAGAAGCCGTACACGTGCGACATCTGCAACAAGTGCTTCACGCGCTCGGCCGTGCTGCGGCGGCACAAGAAGATGCACTGCGGCGCGGACGCCGACGGCCGCGACGCCTTGGAGGACTTCGCCCAAGCCGTGGACGCCTCTGACCTGGAGAAGTCGCAGGGCTCAGATTCCTTCTCCCAGGACGTGTCTGTGACATTGATGCCCGTGTCTGTCAAGCTCCCCATGCACCCGGTGGCACCTACGGGGGCAGACTTTGAGGGCCACGCTGCCAGCGCCTACTGTAAGTTCCGGCCCGCGGCTCAGCCCCCTGCAGCCAGCGACCCGGTGAAGCTCGGCTTGGATCCTGGCAAACTCGCGAAGGCCCCGGGGCAGCCCGCGCCCCATCAGGCCTTCGCTTACTCGGCCGTGGACGCCTCCCCCAGCGACGGGCCGCTGCCGGCCGACGGCCTGTCCGTGACCCGCTCGTCGCTGGCGGCCTTGGACAACCAGTGCGGCGACCCGCTGGGCAGCCGGGCGCCGGGCCCGGCCTGCCGCAGCTCGGAAGGCCAGTTTTTCTCCAGCATGACTCTCTGGGGCCTGGCGATGAAGACGCTGCAGAACGAAAACGAGCTGGAGCAGTGACGCCCGCGCTTCTCAACATGGGCGGCCTCTTCTGCGTCCAGCCGGCGGCACCACGGAGACAGCCGGCTCCCCGCGACGGCTCCCCGCGCCCCCGAACGCGTGGCCGCTTCCCCCGACACGGCTGGTACCTGGAAGCTGCTCCAGCTCAGGGTTTGGGGGGACGGGCCAGAGGGGGGCTTACGTCGCAGAAGCCAAAGGCCTGAGAAATCATTTCACGGACTTCCGCCAGCGTGATGGCGTGCGGACTTTGGGTCAACTACTGTACGTTTTGGTCATGTTGAAAAAAAAATATATATATATATATATGTGATAATACAGATTATTTTTGCATTTTTACATGACTGAAGTTTGTAGTATTTTGTATTTTTATTTACACAAAGATTTTATTTGTATATGAAACTCATACTATAATTTAATTTGAATAAATGAAACTTGCCTTTCTATATAACATGTGTTTCCTCCAGCACTCTTATTCATGTAAAGACCACAGTAGTATAAAAATCAATAGCAACAAGGGCAGTACTGACAGGGCCGCAGGAAGCTGGCCTCTCTTCCTCTGTGACGCAGCCAGGACTTCCTGGAGGGCCGCGCCCTCTAGATGCTCCCTCAGCCCCTGGCCGCTCGGTCCCAGACTCCGTCTCCCTCCTCTCCACCCACATTAGAAGCGGGGGTGCCCCAGGTCACAGGCCCTGGACCCTTCCCTGACCCTGCTCTCTCCCCAGGCCACCTCATTAGTGTCTAATGACCCTAAGTGCTTATGACTCCCAAACTCCTGTCCACCCTGGGCACCTCCCCAGAACCCTAGAATCTTTACCCACCTGCCGGCCTGTCATCTCCATCTTAAAGCCCAGTGGACAGCAGACAGGACGTTTTCAAAGCTAGGCCCCTCCTCCTCCCCTCCTCTGCCCACCCTATTAAAAGGCAATCCCGTTCTTCCCAGCCGCTCAGACTAACCAGTTTACCCACCTCCACCAGTAAACATTTATGGAGTGCCTCCTGTTTTCCAGGCGCTGCGCTTGCGGGAGGCTCAGAGAAGAAGACCCGCCTGGGCTGAGGGATCTCTCCTGGAAAAAATCTGCTTGAGGACAATAAGATTTTAGGGGAAAATTTTAAACCGAAGCTCTTTTGATTCATATTTCCTGTCTCTTCTCTTTCTGCCTGTCACTCTGCCCGAAGCCTTAACCTAAATAAAGAAAAACTTAGAAGTGGTGAGGCCTGGAAGTGTGGGTGCTCCTTGGACAGCAAATTATCTGACGCCTCGCACCCAAAGGGGTAGCGCACTGTTTACATCATTTATTTCCTTCCAGACATCTTCCTCTGCAGTCAGATACAAATACATTTACCACTTAAACATTTTCTAATCAGCTCATACCATACATGCTGCTTTGCCTTTTCACATAGCAGATTGTCATAAACGTCTTCCCTTGTCAAAAGAAAAAAGCGTGGGTTGACGTTGATGCTCTGAATCCCTGTCTCCTATTCCCAACACATCCTTCAAGTTGAGGATGTCTGTGAAGGGCCCAGCCCAGGCCTGGTCAGATAGCGGGTGCTGCGCCAAAACGCCCTTTTTCTTGACAAGGAAATCTACGGGCCACGCTGGCTGCTTTGTGTCGGGTTTTCTTCCAGCCACCAGATGGCAGTATAGACCCTCACAAAAAGCACGGCGGGAGGGGCCCGTGGGTGACTTGCCTGGGCTAACGGGGCATATTTCCAAATCACCTTGCAGATTACAAAGCGCACTCACCCACCTGAGCCCCCCTCAGGCTCCCTGAGAAGCCTATTGGCCAGGTAGCATTCTCTTTCCCCAGTTTGGAGGAATGCATCCTAAGAACGGCAGTCACTTGCTCATCTATTTTTCATCCTTGTTGAGCGCTGACGATATGCCAGCCTCCGTTCACACAGGAGATGCCCAGGAGTGACGCAGCCTGGGCCCCTGCCCTCACAGGTCGAACAGGAAGCTCCACCCAACAGCTTCGTCAGCTCAGCACAGTTCCCGGGGTTCTCCATGTCTCCGTTGTACAAATGGGCTTAAAAAAATATCTCTAAGTCTATGTGACCCTTGAAGACATGCTTCTGAGTGAAAGAAACCAGACACAGCGGTCACATGTTGTACGATTCCATTTATATGAAATGTCTACAATAGGCAAATCCATAGTGAAAGAAAACAGATTAGTGGCTGCCAGGGGCTGGGGGAGGGGGAATGGGAAGTGACTGCTAATGAGTTTGGGGTTTCCACTTGGGACCGTGGACCCCAAGAAAGAATGAACCTGCTAAGTAGAACTCGTTGTAGTTAATTGGGCCCACATTCTTAGAGTCTAGCAGCCATTGTGTATGGGGTCCTTTTCACACACACACTGCATATCAGGGAGGAAGTCAAGCCTCCTACACTGTTCCTGCTAGCTGAACCCACCCTTATAAAGGAGCTCCTGGAATCGTATTTCGACCAATGGGCTGAGTCCTGCCCCATCCAATTGGAACTGCACAGCTATAGCCTCATTTATATCTTTACCAACCAATCAGAGCATCTCTATAACAACAAATCACCACAGTGCTTTTCGGACCAATCACACTGTGTGAATTTGGAGTTCTCAAATGCATAGAAATGGACCCAGAGTGGGAACTTCTCTCTTCTCGGTCTCGGTGGAACGCTTTCCGTTTCCACTGAAGTCTGAGTTTCTCGTGCTGGAGCTGCCCCACTTGAGCTGTTCCACTGGAATCAAGTCTCTCCCTTCAGCGCACCACAGAATGGGGACTCCTGTTGGCGTTGAATTGGTGGCAGCCACCTTTTGTTGACAGGATGATGGAAAAGTTCTGGAACTAGACAGTGGTTATTACAGACTGAATTGTGTCTTCCCCCACCCCTCCCCCCATAATGAGATCATAAGGCTGAGGCTCCGCCCAAAGAACTGGTGTCCTTATAAGAAGAGACCCCAGAGCTAGTCAGGAAGTGGGGACTGGGGCTTCCCCTCGCTCCGCAGCGGGGGCCCCAGTGAGTTAAAGCACCTGGAGGGTCCCTGGAGAGGGAGAAATGAGACGGCTGTCTGGTCGCCTCCTGTCTGTCTAACCCCCTCTGTTCTCCCTCCATCTTCAGGACACAAGTACCCTGATGGCCTCACCATCTCCTGGGAAGTCTCTGAACTGTCGGCCTGGCCCGCCCGGCCAGGGGATACGCTGACAGATGACAGAAAGGAATTCTGAAAATCCTGCCTCTCTAACAAACCCCTGGCTTTTGAATCCATTGTCTCGCTGCAAGACACACTCTGCATGCCAGAGTCAGAAGAGCACCTGGATCGCCCTTTTTGCTTCCTCTGTAATTTTCCTGATCTCACTCCCAGCCCCACCCAAGGCAGCAGGATGCTTTGAGGTTCATGGAGGAAGGTCACGCACTCAGAGGCAAAAAAACAAAGTAATTTTCAAAATAGTACACTTTATAGTTAAACATGCAAATGTAACCTGATCCCTCCTGGGCCAATATGAATGGGAAGTAATTCTCGTCCATGGATGTGCGAATTCCGTCCTGGCCAGTGGACCTTCCATCGGCTCCTCTGCCAGCCATGAAAAACCAGCCCTGTCTCCATTTCATACTCATTTCAGTCTTCCTGATCTGAAATGCATCTGTTCTTTGAATTCCCTGCTGAACCAGTTAGACGACCTGCCTCATTCCCTCCCCATGAATGAGTTAAATTAAATCCTTAACCTGCATTCATTTTTATATCTGTATGAGAGGCATGATTTTACTTTTTCTTGAACATTATTTTTAACAGTCTTCTGAAAGCAAAGGTTTGCTCAGATGGAGACAGAATTCTCTCGTTTACTATTTAATGTATGCCTAAATTTGTTAGATTTCCAAACACAGCGTGTATTAGTTTGCTAGGGCTGCCGTAACAAAGCGCCACAGGCTGGGGGGAATTTATTGTCTTTCAGTTTTGGAGACTAGAAGTCAAGACCAAAGTGTGAGCAGGGTTGGTTTGTCCTGTGCCCTCTCTCCTTGGCTTGCAGATAGTCACTTTCTCCCTGTGTCCTCACATGGTCGTCCCTCCATGTATGTATGTGTGGGGGTGGGGGAGGGTGTCTGAGTTCTGATCTCTTTGTATACAGGTGCCAGTTGTATTGGAGCAGGGCCCACCCAAGTGACCGCATTTTACCTGAATCATTTAAAAGCCCAATCTCCAAACACGGTCACATTCTGAGGTACTGGGGGTGAGGGCTTCACCATACGAGTTTGGGGGGGACACACGTCGGCCCATAACCTAGAGCAAGAACACAAGAGAGCTGGAGTCCGTGGTATGAGGGGGGCCTGGAATCCTCAGGGGGACACAGCAGACACAACTGCCCTCCTATCCTGGGGCCTATGCCAACAGCGTGTGGAGTGATCCGGTTAAGGAACCTGCCTGTGGTTCCCAAACCCAAGAGGCCACAGCAGCAAGGCCAGCGACAGACAAGTCCGACTGCTAAAGGTCACTTTACTTTTGGTCTCTCAGATTCTCAAATTACTGGGTGATTTTATCAGGGCCCTTGGCCGTAGGGGACCTGACCCTTTGACTGCAGGAAAGAACACAGGGCTTCGAGAAGAGGTGCTTCTCCCTGCTGGCTGACCTGTTGCTGCCGGTTTGGCCTCAGGGTTTTCCAAACAATCTCGGCCGTGGGACCTTCAATTCGTGACATGTCAGGTGGGCGCCCAATCCGCAGAGCAGAAGGAACGAAGCTGCCGTGGTTTGAGGAGGCGGGGGCCAGAGCCCCGCATGCAAGGCCTCATCACTCTGCCCCCCACCAGCCTTGGACCCTGAGGGGCTCCATGACCACCCCCCCCGTGAAGACCACTGGCCTCAGGGGTGTCACTGAGTCTCCTGCCATTTGGGCTTCTGTACATTCACACGGGACATGTCCACGATGTCGTTACTTATCAAGACCAGCCTTGCTCCAAGACAACTGCAGAAATACAAGTACATTTTTGTTTTTATAAAATACACAAGGATACTGAGACAAACAGAAAATAGAGGCAGGTGATAAGGTAGAACCCGGGGTGTGGGCATTACATAGAAATGTATAACGTGGTGTTATGGCCGGCGATGGACTGCATGTGTGTGTCCCCCCCAAATTCACATGGCGAAGCCCTGACCCCCCCTAGTGTGGCTGTGTTTGAAGATGGGGTCTCTAATGAGGTGAGCGAGGATAAATGAGGCCATAACGGAGGGGCCCCGACCTGACAGGCTTGGTGTCCTTGTAG